GCAGCCCGTAAATAAATAAATAAATAAATAAATAAATAAATATATATATATATACAGTTATATACATACACACACACACACCCACACACACACAGACACACACACACACATATTTTGCAATTACCAGCCGGTTGATTGCATGGGATCGAGCATGCCTGCTTTCCTTGGGGATCTTTGAATATGACCATGCACCTGCGGATCGGGACAAATGCTGCACAAACTAGCCAAGCTACTTTGTGCAAACTGACCGCCGTCAAGGCAAAGGCTCAACACCCGGATTGTCAGCATGTCGGTATTTCACAGTCAAGACCTGCAAGAAGGCCAACAACTCAATATCAGAGAGAGGGACGGAGCCGTGCTGTTGTATCTCTTCACGCGCCTGATGCTGCGGCACTGTCTCGACGAAGCATTTTTCTTCACCCTACCAACAAGTCACAGAAGAAGCTTGGCGTGGACAGGTCTGGAGCGAACCTCATGCAGGTTGAAGTAGGCTGCCTGCGATGGAATGTTACTTGGCGAGATCGGTGCAGGACCACAAACGCAATTCTTAGTTAGGGCTACGGGTTGTGCGGTTTGCAGCCTGAATCGGGAGGCCCAGAAAGACAAGCCGGGCAACAACCTCTGGAGATGAAGTTGCTGACTAGCTTTGACTTCTCGATTGTACTTCCAAGCTGAGGGCACGGAGCGCCCATGTCATCGCACCTCTCGCCTCTGCAAGCTCAAACTGGGCGCATGTGTAACCGCAGCCGATCGGGACCACAAGCAAGGCATATTTGCAATTGAGATCTTGCAAAAGCTCGGCCTTCAGGAACACGGAACTCTCAGCTGCCCCATCCCGCAAGAACTGCGATTTGGGCTCAATCCGCCAACCCGAACATTTGCTGCTTCACACCGGCTTGCATCGTAGCAGTCTGCCAACACTACCTGCCACAGGCACGACGGCCAAATCTTTTCCCACCCCTCTTTGCAGGCGAGGCTGTCGAGCACCGATTGATGCTACTCCTTCGCCCCATCAGGCTGCATGTCACGAGACGCAGATCGCTGGTCTGCTGCTGGACTGTACACTGATTCAATGATGATGTTCACAGACCACAGCACTGGTTTCTGTGACCAGCTTGCGGAGCCATGATGCCTCCGCTGCGCGCACTAGCAAGCTTGCAACAATCGTCTTAAAGTCCTGAAACGATAAGCCCTTGCCTGGGGTCAAGTCATGTATACCGTGAGGGTTAGCATCAAAGCCTATTACTCACGAGAGCACCCGCCTTCCGCCAGTCTTTTGAGGGATCTCCCCTGGCTGAAAGCACTGATGCTCGTCTGAACTTCTGATCCATGCCGTCGATTTCTCTCTTGTCGCCCCAGCCCTTCCAAGAATCAAGCCAGGAACACCCAACTTGGCCACCATCCATGGCGCTTTTCGAGGCATCTACTGTCATCTCATAGTTGCCTGGACATGCTGTCGCAAAGCAGATAGGACAAGCTGGGGCCTAGGCCGCATGCTCGGAATCACAGCGGAAACAGCAAGGCGATGCAGCGTACCAAATTCTGCCCAGTTGATTTTCAGCTTGTCGCCATCCAAGGACCAATGCCTTAGCCGGGCGCAGCTTTATGCCGGCCACGCCAGGCACTTCCCGCTTCTGCAGATTTGCACCCGTTATCAGCCACTCCCGAACTTGTTTCCGCGCCTGTTTTAAGCGGTCGCATTTTTGCAAGAGAGGCGTGCTTGCCACGATCGGATTGAACATCAGAATTCCTCAGACAATGCATCATCCAGTCGGCTCCAGACCTCTGCAGCGGCAGCAGCATCCTTCTCTCTCTGTGACAAGAGTTGTGCTGCGTCGTCTGTGCTGAAATGCCCGGTATCCACCTCATGCTGCCGAAGAGACCATGCACCTGAAAATTTGCGAGCACACACTATGCATTCGCAGCTTGGTGATTCCAGGTCAGGCAACTCTAAATGCCTTGCAGCCTGGATTTGCTGTGGCTCCTCGCAGGCGCCCGCTCTGGGCAGTGGCCGCCCGTCCAGACAGATCAACTCTGCCAAGTCCGGATTCGTGCGCGCTTTGCCGGCCGTGTCGATCAGAAGCGCCCGGAAACGCTCCACTACGTCGGGGCTCACGGTGTTGTTGAGGTTCCTTCCCAATTCCTTAGTTCTCCAGAGGCACCACCACAAGCAAGCCACCACGTCACATCTGAAGCAGCATCCGTCATGCTTACAGCCGTGTCTTTTGCAAAGTGTCGATGGGATCTTCAACGTGCAAGCCGGCTTTCTTCGTTCTACCCCAGAGATTCTGAAAACATGGCGATTCGATCGTTTGTCGCGAAGCCTCGCGCACAGAGACGACTTCTTGGTTCCAGTCGAACTTTTCGGCGAAAAAATCGAAGAAGTTCAAGAGCAGTTCTCCAGAGGACATGCCCCTGAGGCCCTTGTAGCCCACCTTGTCCACATCTTGAAACGGTACAAACACTGTGTCAAAGCCGTCGTCGGAGACAATACCTTCACCATCCGGTTTGGCCAGATTGTGCAGGGATGGTAGCCCATCACATATCTGGACCTTACGCACAGTTCCACCGGCAACCAGAAAGCATACAGAGGAGGCGGCAACTCCAATCGAGATTGCCAAGTGGCAGAGTAGATTGCCTCGCAGCTGCTTCTAACTTGTGAGGACTTTTGGTGTTTCCAGTGGGCAGTGTTCAAAGCAGCAGAACACCGGAATCTCTCTACAGATACCGAGTTAACGGCCATCAGGGCGAGGGTGTAGGAAGATAGCAGTCCTTGGGACTCGAAAGCAACGACACACCGTCTTCGGTATCGCAGCCTCAGTCGGACTGTTTCCTGGTCGAGCCCAGTAGCCGACCTCCCTCCCGACGATGCCAGCGGTACGAGCCCAGTGACGCAATGCCAAGATCAGGTTTTGGAGCCTGGGGTCAAGCTCCAGATATGCACCTCGGGACTGCAGAATAATGCTTCCGCAAGTCATCCACACGCGATTCTGTCGCTCTGGCCTGTAGTGAACTGAGATGCGAACGAACTAGATGGGAGCTGTAGAGTGGCATCAGGCGCTGACAGCTCAGGATGCATCTTGCAGCTGAGTAGGTTCGCCAAAGGTTGCCACTCAAGTGAACAGAGGCGGACTCCTCTATGCAGGCTGTGCCACGCCTGACCCCAAAGTTGTCAGCCGTCTGCAGCCCAAGCAGTGCACATTTCTTGACAATCTCGCGCATCTGTCGAGACCGGGTTGCAGCAACCGTCGTCAGCTCAGCTGCACGTGCTGGGGTCATCGGGATGTAGACGGTTGCGTCAATTTCGGCATCGCTTTCTCCCACGCCAGTGAAGCAAGAGCCGTAGCCAAGAACTTGAACATCTGAGCCCAGTAGCTTCTTTGAAATTTTCTCGAGTTTGGATAGAAGTGTGGCTCGCCTCAAGCGATCACTCGGCTTTGGAGCCACGGCAGCCCTGAATGCCTCCATCTGATCTTCGAGCCGCGACACCGACGAGAGGCACCGCGTGCGCGCCTGCCCCGTCCGTCGGGCTCTGCAGAGCAGGAAGCCAAGGAGAAAAGTGACTCGCCCACTAAGGCCTCGGCCTGCAGTCGCTTCGAAAAGGCTACTTCAATGACTTGGGAGCTACTGGCTTCTGCTCACCCAAGCCTGCTGCATGAGGGCATGGTTCTGTCCACGCTTTCAGGACCGGTTTGCGGGCAAGAAAGAACCAAGAAGTCGGGCGGCTGCCTTGTCCTGAATCAAACAATTCACTCTTCGGAACCATGCATGCTTGTCAGGGAGCTTGGGCATCAAAGGTAGGTTTCTTGAGTGGCCTTCCCTGACAGGCGAGGAGCTTGTTCGGTGGACTTGGAGAAATGCATTGTGGAACGTGTGAAGGTTGACACCGGTGGCGGTGGGTCTCAGCCCGCTCATGAAGCAACCGCTGACGACATGGCAGTGCTCGCTGTTCGGCACGAAAGACATGCAGAAGCTTGTGTGCTGCGGCTTTGTGCCCAAATGCAGCGGGACCCGAATAAGCGTCTCCCAAAATGATGATGACAACAAGCCAAACACATCCTTTACCGGCCATCACAAGCAGATGTAGCTAGGTCCAAAGACCCGCAGCACGCCTCCATCTCAGAAAAGGCTTTTGAAGATCTGCGCGTATTCTATGCATTACATCATAATTGTTGCAACTGCGATGGCAAAAATCTTGCTACAGCTGTCACTGAGTCACCTTCCGGTTGCTGCAGTACTAGGCTCGCAATACCACTACTATAACGATAAATACCAGCACGATGGTACTAACGGCTACTATTCCTACGAGGTGCACCATCATCTGAATTCTTGATGGCACAACAAAGTGTGCGCTGTCTTAGGACACCTAATGTACTGCTTCCACGTCCCTGACAAATCAAGCTGTATCTGAGGAGCAGGCGCATGCGCGGGAAAGTCGTCGCACTGGAAATGGTTGTAACCATCACCCTCAGGTCCGGACACATGTCTGGGCATGCTACGAAAAGCGGATTGACATGTGTGGCCTTGAACTTCACTGGGAACTTGCCGCCTGACCTCAGCACTCGTGCAAAACAGCATGCTGCGACAGCCAAGTCTGCAAAACTTTGGCGGCCACCACTCGAAGTCCCACTCGGAGCCAGCACCGTCACCTAGGAGGAGGACCTGCGGGCTGTGTAAGTCAAGGCATGCATCCATGAAGTCGACAACGCGACCTCAACAGGCGATAACGCCCGGTTGAAGGTGGCCTTTGTCATGCTCGAAACAGTAGAAGCGCTTGGCAGTAACTTAGTGCTCTCCTTGCGCCAGTTCTTGTCGTCCTCCGTCTTTGGAACGGCATTCCCCTGGGTGTGGATCTGCTTTGGAGGGGTATAGTGTCGGCAGTTCTGTGGTCACAAGATGTCACAAGGGGGTGCTGTCATCGCTGCATCATCCCGGACCGTTTCTTGAGATGGCAAACCAATGCAGGGAATGCGGCATCCATGGTCTTGGTTGCCGCATCAAACTTCAACTCGTACCTGAGAACACCAGAAAGAGCCCACAGGACCTCACAAGCTGCAGTTTGGTATGCATGGGGTACGGAAAGCTCCACAGCGCATCTCTCAGGTCCAGGCTTCCCAAACTTCTTCCAGTCGATCCTCGGATGCACGAAGTGTGCTGAGAGATCTCCTCTATGCCTCTATGCTTCTCTCTCTTCCTTTCTGGAATCCGAGTCGCTTCACAGTGTCTCCATCAATCTCCCACCTGCGGTCCAAAGGCATGCAAGAAAGGAAGTGATCCCAGTCGGGCTTAAGGAGACCGCCTTGCGGGGGCCTGAAATTTTGGACAGAAGAAGTTGCCTGCCTGAGTGCACAGGGCTTCAGTGAGTGGCATCAGTGAAAGAAACACGTGCAATTAGGATCAGGCAGGTCTGAAGCAGACTGGAAACGAACCGCCAGACCAGCTGAAATCGTACCTTGGCCAGAATTAACTGACCAAGCGAATACACATGCAGTGCGAAGCTTCCTCTCCTTCAGCTGGAACGTCAACCTACCCAACAGCCCAGAGTTCGTGCTGCGCATTGCTTGGCCCAAAGCCAGCCAATCACATCATCCCTGGCGCAGCGCACGTGCTACGTTGTGATGCCGGCCGCTCGGATGCTCCGAACAACATGAAGGTCTGAGCTTCCAACGGTTGGGTCATTGTATCGCTACTGCTCGGGGTGGCGTAAGTTCAAAACTGCTCAAGCGTACGGGCATGAAGATGTGCAGTCCTTGTTTGTCCTTGCAGTGACTATGAATCCGTTGGCTACTGGAACAAGATGCACAAGGTGTCTTTTTGAGAGACAGGTGCTCTCATCAACTTTGCGTTGCCGGTGTGAGACATGAACCGCGTATCCCGTGGATATAAAGAGAAATTAAAGGTGCCTGTCGTTCGCAGGAGCAAATTTGCGTGGTCTTTGCCAGCTGTGGAAACTAATTAGCCGGGGTACGGTAGGACCTCTACGCAAATGTCAATGGACTTCGTTTCTTTACATAGTGAAGCCTTGAGATCCCAAACTGGATCTTGGCCTTTCGGCAAGGAGCAACAATTCTTTTCTGCAAAGCTGTGCTTCACCACTTCCCGCCCTTTCTGCTTTCGGCTGCCCGTCCCAGCAGTTACGAGCATGGATGTTATAAGCGCGCCCTCTAAGGAGCCTAGACACTTCATCTCAAGAAAGCAGCGTCCTTTGGCCTTCTTGAATCCAGAACCGTGTCGTCCACCGGTCTCTGTTGCCAAAACCATCAGCCGAAAAGGCTGGGTTTCTCGTCCGACCTTCAGCTCAAACTCCGGGCTGATGAGCTTCTCCGCATGAGACTCCAGCTTGTGCCCGTCTACGCACCAACGAATTCGCTGTCCACCGTTCGCTGATGCAGTGCACTCAACTGCTCCCGGCCTTGGCAGCAAGGGAAAAGCGCAAAGCACAGGTGCACCATCCGAGTCCCTTACGCCAGTGGCTCTGGCAGCTCTGGCACCTGCCTGGCGGATTTTTGAAAGTCTGCGCTCCGTGTACCGAGATGGGAAGCAGCGAAGGCACAGGGAGTTGTCCCCTGCGGCCTCTGCTTGGCTGGGTTCGACTTTCTGTCATCTGGGCGCGGCGACGCTGTGCGCCCCAATAAAGTGGGCGGCTGCTGCCCCTGCCCATGCGGCTGCCCCTGCTGCTGCCCCTGGCAAACAACGATTGTCGCCATCTGCTGCACCGTCAGCACGGAATTCTGCCGGCCTGTGGCAGGGCCGCATCAGAGCCCTGCTCGGCCTGCGGAAGTTGCTGCAATGGGACGTTTTGGCTGTCGGAAGGCACCACCATAAACGGTACCTCGCAGCCGGCAGTGGGAACGCAATACTTCGCCTAGACGGGCCTAGACTCACTGCTAGGAAGTCCCAGGCTCTCCAACATACCGCATCTCTTGAGTGACTGCTGGTGCCTTGGCTTTCCATCGTGCATGTCAGTTCGTCTTAAGCTGTAGACCGAAGGGAAAATCATTAGGGTCCGATTCCAATGAGCCGAGAGACGGAGACGGACGGCACTTGTGGCCCTTGCGGCTCGGGAGGTACGGCCGGAGCAGGAGCTGGAGCCTCTGAAACCGCAGCCGTTGCTGTCGCCGGATATCCTTCCACCACGATTCTCTTGTCAGCCTCGGTTCAAGAAGCCATGGAGTGGCTACAAGTTCGCTGTCGCAGAACTTCAGGCAAGCAACCGACAGCTGCGCTTCCATCATGAGCTGTTGTTCCCAGAGATCTGGAGTGTTTATCCGCTGCCAGCCTCAGTATTGGCAAACCCTTCCAAAGCTGCAGCGCCAAGCTCTTGCAACAAGTAGCTGGGCTTCTTTTGCGCTGGTGGTCGCTTGCCCGAGGCCACTTGCTCCATCATGAGCTGCTGCTCCCACAAGTCTGGGGTGTTAAGCCTCTGCCAACCTGAGATCTTTGAGGCGAGCAGACATGGACAGAGAGAGAGAGAGAGACAGAGAGCATGAGAGAAAGACGGAAAGGAAGAGAAAGAAACCAAAGGAATAGATAAATGAACCAAAAAACAACGATGGTGCTGAAGAAAACACAACATAAGACAACGACAGCTGAGTGGCTTGGCTTCTTCTGGGCAGGCTGGCGCTTGCTCGATGTGTCCTGACGTCATCCAGAATGCTCTGGCATTGGTAATTCTGTCAAGAATTCCAAAAGACGGCGAAGTCGCTATTTCGAGCCGTAGTCAGTTGTTGATTCACCCCCCCCTTCTTTCAGGATGCGAATGTTGCGGCTTGCCTTCGCAACTGGATTTCTTTCTTGTCCTGACTGAGGACCTGCAACCCTGCGTGAAACTAGTGAACCCTGCGTGGTCGAAGACAGTCCGCGATGAACGAGATTACTTGATACGTGGGCTGTGCAACCAACGTGTGACGACCAGCAGAGAACACCGCTCCTCGTCAGGTGCTTCCTCCGTTTCCTGGCTGTTTGCTTCGGCATCATCACCATCGTTGGCGCCAGCCGGCGTCTCCTCTTCCAAGTCGAGGGTGCGAGTATGTCGCAGAGCAGGGGCTGTGCCAGCACGACCGAAGTCAGGTCGCTTCTCCTGTTGCAAAGCGTCGTCCAAGCACATTTGATCCTTACGTTTGTCAATGCATGGGCTGTCCTTGACCTGGAGGAATGTGTTCACCACGACAACCTTGGTTAAGGCCACCCAGTTCGGGAGTGAAAGCTGCCGAGTGCTGACATGTCCGGGCATCGCCTCGTGCTCTGGCAGCTGCGGGAGTGGATCCATAGCAGAAAAAGGGGGTAAACAGCTTGCGCCAGAGTTCTCTCCCGATGTACCAAAATCGCGCAAACCTTTGTGGAAAGATGACACACTACAGAACGTGGTGCAACCAGAGGCTCCGTCAATGTCAAGATCCATTCACTGCATCTTCTGGAACTCTGTCAAGCTTTTTTTCGCACCCCTTATCTCTCGCCAACGTGGCGTGGAACCTTCGGCAGTTTTGCCATGATTCAAAAAGCAGTCGCATCTGAGTCATCTCAGGGAACAGGTGGTCGCTCATCGACCTCAGAGATTCCACGTGACTGCATGATAAGGCATGTACTTCTCTCAGGTCTCGGGCCTGGAGACATTTTCGAGAACTTGGGAACTGCAAGCTGATCCCAATCAACCTCCGGGACTGATGCAACTTACGTCGGCTTTGCCGTGGTTGCTGTGGTTTCTGCGAAAGCCTCGCATTCGTCTTCGCACTCCGTTTCTTCAAGCTCCTGCTCCACTGACAGCGTGACATCCGCAAATCGTCAAATGGCACCACGACGGCTACACGTAGCAGGCGCGTCCTGGATCTTGGCTTGATGGCTGTGTACCTGCATCTGGCTGCATGAACAGCCGATCGCAGAGACATGGCCGGGGCACCTTTTCGAGAATGTCCTCGCGCCCGGCAGCTTTGAGGCGGTACTCTGAAAACCAGTCGTACAGCCTTAGACGAAAGCACTGGCCAGGGAGTCACATGGAGGTTCCTGTTGTACTCAAGCTTCTGGCCAGTCGAAGAAAGCCCCTACAAAGGGAAGGGTCGTAATCTCATAGACCTGCTGCGATGCATTGAAGCTGGACACTCGGGGAGCACCAGTGCATGTCCCGCTCTGCAAAAGCCTTTCCGCACCACATGCTTGGACAGTTTGCCAAGCCCTTCGTCCGCAAAGTCTCTGGCGAAATCCGAAACTGAACACATTGAGATGCCTGGCACGGCCTTGAAATGCAGCCATTATGCACGCGAGAAGGCTTAAGGGCATTCTGGCCCGATCTGACAAACCCGTGCGACTGGGTGAAACGGCGTCAGAGCTCCACGCCTCTTGCCCGCGCCTCGCACTTGGCGAAACGACCGTGACGGATGGACGCAAGCTTTGCAAAGCAAAGCCACCGTAGGGTGGGGCCTCCTCGAGCTCGCGAGCCTCGCGAAGATCCTCCAAGTAGGCCTTTGCATTGCTTTGCACAGTTTCAGGGCCCTGGGGAGACCAGTGCCATGCAGTCAAGGACCAGGCCCAGGATAGGACACAAACGATGAAAACAAGCAGGATCAAGCCACAAATAAGCCTGATGGCTTTCAGGGCTTTTACAAACCGCAGTTCGGAGTATGCTGCTTCAGGCGCGGACCCCCATGCATCAGACCACCTGTACAGAATGTCAGATCTGATGTCCCGCAAAATAGTTGAACAGTCATGACGGAACCCTGGCACAGTCTAAACTCTTTAAACCATTGGCGTGTCTGCACTGCTGTTCACTCCACAGCTCAGCGCATCTTAGCGGGTGCTGGCCTGAAGGGCTCATCTGGCGGATAGTCGTCGTTGTAGTCATGATTCTGAAAAGCCTCGATGTCGCAAAGGTTGCATCTGCTGCGGCTGTGCTACTCCCAAGACACAGGCTGGTCTGGAGAGTGGCTTTCTAGCTGGTTCTTTCCTGTTCGGGGGGCCACAAGCGCTTCCCTGGCATGCCGAGCACTCGCACATGTCACAGCCTGTCAAGCGTCGGAGGCTTCATCGATCTGCTTCCGCCAGAGCCTCAGCAAGTTGCCACTGCGCCGTCTCATGTTCCTCCATGCTTCATATCTCCAGTTAAAGAAAGCATACTGAAAGGGAAGCTCCCGACTGTTTCGCTCTGCAGCGCTCAGCCTTACTCGCGACCTGATGCCAGGTAGCGAAGAAAAGGAGCTCCTGCCCTGCTCCCGTTGAGCTCCATGCGGTGCATCATCCTGAGTTTTGAGAGTTGCGCTCTTGAAGTTCATAGAGCCACTTGCAGTATGCCTGTCTTCGGGCAATGAGCTTCGGGCATCCTCATCATCCACCACCGGGTTTCTGAGGGGTATGGACGTCAAATCCTGCCAGTCTCTTCAGCTAGCACTGTCCGATTTTGCGGCAAGCACTTCGACTGGAAAGCTTGTCTGAGGCCTGCATGAGGGAGAGATCATCGCTGTTGTCTTCGGCCATGATGGCCCTTAGAGGTGCAGCTTCCGACTTGTCACATGCGAGCGCTTGGAACCGGGCTCCCAGTAAACATGAACAGATGAGGCCTCTCCAACGCTCCGCAGTGAGCCGGCTGTGGCCGCTGTTGAGCCAAGCGAACGAGGTGCAACGGCAGAAGGAACGGCAGAAGGATACAACTTCTCCAGCAAACAACACAGCGTTTGCACAGAGCTTCTTCCACAAAGCAAAGTGCCGCACCCACTGCATGCCGACTATGCTGTAGATTCTGCGGAAGACATCCATACCCGCGATCACCTGTCCAAGAATTCAAGCATCGACAATCAAAGGGCAGACTCACGCAGACTCACGCAGACTCCCCATGGTACTCCATGATTCAGTCTCTCTTCCCTGTCAGGGCAGCAGCTCTGCTGCTCCCAGAACTCGAAGCTGAGACCCCAGAGCCCGAAACCCAGTGAGCCGCGAGAAGCACAAAGCGGCTGCGGCTGAATCTGGCTCCAGAGCTGCACCATGCTGCACCCAACTGCACGAAACGCAAGACTATGGCCTCTCCGTCCCGTGTCACGGCATGAATATGTCGCATGCCATCCTCGACAGATGGAGACGGGTCGCACACTCACACGCGCACACACACACACAGAGGGACCTACAACTCGAACGTGAAAAGAACGAGAGATGTTTGACGATTCGCTCTGGAGATTACAGACTCTGCGCAGCGTGCATGCAACTACCACGACGACAGCTGCGCAAGGAAAGCCAAGCAGACAGTACGCTCATGCAGATTCCTCGAAAACGACTCCGCCACAAAGCTCAGGATCGTAATCTGCGCAGCGTGAAAGCTGTTGCTTGATATGCAGGCAGGACTGCACGACGCAGATCATGTGTGGTGAATCACAATGGCAATCTACTTTTTCCCAGACCTGTACGTCCCGAAGTACTGAAAGTCCAGCAAGCGACAAACGAAAAGCTTCTGCTTTCGGGGCGAGCACCATTTTAAACTTTCGAGATCGTGCATGAACATTTCGTGAAGTCTTACTGCCACCGCGCCTGGGGCATGCAGGTTCGTCAGTGCGACGAGGCCTTCGTACTCGGGGTTCTCGTCCATGCGCTTCTGCAAGAATTCCACCTGCTTGCACAGCTGGCATGATGGGTCCCGCTGATGTGGAACTCAGTCTCCGAGGCTTCGTGCCTGCTTCATGCAGGATGGGCAGTCACCATCATAGAGCAAGTTGATCACCCAGCGGTCATCCTCCAAGGAACACTGCCACTAGTGAAGGTATGGCGCACGATGCACATCTCTCTCTGCACCTTGAGATGCTGCAGTGTCAGGGGCTGTACCTCACCTGGCTGCCAGGAAGCAGCGCAATGATCTCTCTCTGCTCCGAGGTCCCAGCTCTGTGGAGTCTGTGCAGTGTCCTCTTGGGCATCATTCACCGTCTCCTGTATCAGCTTTCATCCGTGCGGAGGACGTAAGTCTTAGCCGAGCCATTGCACAAGTGCTGATGCCATGTGCTTCAGACCTTTTTCGCTTCAAGCTGATGGGTCCACGAACTAGAAACACGCTAGCACGACAAGACAGCAACCTGAACACTCTTGACCTGCCCATCCTTCCAGAGTCATAGCTCCTGCATGCCTTAAAGCCTTGATTCCTTGATCTTGCCCATTACAAACCTGAGGTGAGACAGGCCTTGCCGCGGAAGCGCACCTACCGCCGCCTACGCCTTCGTCTCTTGTGTTTCCGTCGGTCAGAAGAATAGCTCTGGCTGGCCGCCTGGTTGCATCTTTCTCTGCAAACTTACGTACATTCGTGTACCCAGGGTGAGACTCCATCTGGGAAACTGGCCGACGACTCCCCTCGTTTGCGTCTGCGCGACCTGCAGAAGAAGCGAACAATCAAGCACGGAAGCACAGAAATTAACATAAACAGGAACTGAGCGACATACACACTGTCACACGAGAGGGTGCATGCAGTTACATGCCACATTCCGCAACATCGCTCCCAAAACCCTGATTTAGAATCGGCGGTTGCCAAGGAGCTTCTGCTTGCCATCCTTGCTGGCTGCAGCGTCCTGCAACCGTAGCAACGACAACGCTGACAGGACATGAACCTGGCTCTTTGCAGTCACGTGCACTCTGGCCTGGACATCACAATAAGATCTGCTGGAAAGACAGAACGCCCCGCTACTTAGCAGAGTCGCAAAATTACTTCCCCACCCTTCTGGAGAACACGTTTATACCGAAGAGCTGCTTATTTGAGGCAATGCTGTCGATGCTGTTGCAGATCTTATCGCTTCTGAGCTGAAACTAAATACCAAAAAACTGGTGCAGCAGCTGCAACTACACTTTCGTTTCCGCATCGGAGGGAAGGTCCGCAAGCAAGAGCTCAATTCATTACTGCAGGTGTAAGGTGTAAGATTCCAAGGTTTCAGCCTTGTTTGCAGGAGCATGTGCTGAAGGGCCTTCCTTCTCCAGCACCGACAATGTCCAAACTTGACTTGGCTTTCGGGGTTTTTGATTTAGGGGTTTTTTTTAGGGTCACTCCGACACCCACATCGAAACTCTGTCCTTCCAACGAGGAGGCCCGACGGTGAAGCACACCCTAATTATCATCAATGTGATAACGACGAAAGCCATGTGCATTACAGTTCAGTGGTACAGGCGTGGAAATAGGTCGTACAAAGCTATAGTGAACACTGGAAAGTTAGAACAAGGATTTGGGATGATTAGTGCTGGGATTCCCTCTACTTTACCTCAAGCGCATGAGGATAATGATGTTCCAACTTTCTGGCGTCTACTACCCATTCAAGAAAAGACAAAACCAGCAGGTCGACTAAAGGTATCAAGAAGTGGAAAGCGCTGAACAATATAAACACACATGAATACAGGTGCTACGAGTGGAACGGTGGGAAAAGCAACAAACAAAAAATGTTGAACCGAATGGTGGCAAAGGCAACATGTTGAAACACAGAGATGGCAACATGCTTTAACACTGTGAAAGCCACCGCATTGACCGGTTTTCTGCCTTTACTGAACTGTTCTCCAGTTGCCTGTCCTCCACCTTTCTTTCAGCCGTTTTGGAAAATCCAGTACGAGCTCTTTTACACAAGAAGCAAATTTTCACACCACCACCGCCACCACCGTCACCACCACCCGCAGGAGCGGCACCCTGCCGGCATTCGGCAGCACCAGCACCACCTCTTCCACAAACACGAAAAAAATCAAATAAAAAAGTCACGACTCCAGGACAACAAAGACCTCCAGGACCAGGAGAGGAGGAGGAGGAGGACTGCATTGGGCGACGAACACACGACGAATGCTTGCTGCAGGTGTATCCATGCCACCAACAGCTTGCAGGAAGCGCAAAGCAAAAAAGCAAGTCGGGATAAGGCGGGGAAAGTCGTCATAAGGCGCGCGTGGTTTGGAGAAGTCTACAGGTTCGATGGACTGGAGAGCGACACTGGAAGGACAGGATGCCATCGAAATCCTTCGAACCCTGCGCTGCCTCTGCCCCAGCTTCCTGGGAAGCTCCTTCCTTTCGTGACTTGCTCTTGTCACGCTGGGAGTCGCCCTTTTTTCTTGACCTGCTCCTGTCTTCGTCTTTTCCATCTTTTCCCTTGTCTTTATCCTTTGCAAGCATAGATCACGGGTCAGGCCATCTTCAGTCCAGCAGCCGCCAGCTGTCAAAATTCGAAGTTAGTTTATGCCAGGCCTTTTTTCCAGCTTTCTCTTCGGCAGTCCCTTTGCTTTTCGTCTTGGTCTTCTCCTTCTTCGATTTCTTTTCTGCATTCTTTGAAGGGCCGTTGGCGTCGTCGGCTGCTGCCACCTGGTCGCCATTGACCTGTGCGTCAACCAAACTGCTGGAGGCTTCGGCAATGCCTGGCCGCCCTGGCCTGCCCGCTTGCGGCCTTTGCGACCTTGTCAGCCTTCAGGGTGCGTGCTGCATTGCGAAAGCTCCGGGGCTACGTCGGCTACATAGAGTTCCTCGCAGCGGCGGGTATCTTTTTGTTCGATCAAGCTCTTGCCAGAGCTGCCTCTTCAAGCTTGGCAGCAACCGCTTCGGCAGCAGCTTTTCGGGTTTCTGCCTGGGCACTTGCAGATTGTCTTAGGCTCCTGGCCTTTCGCTCTTCCTGGCCTTGCTCTTCGCCGCTACTCTGCCCACCTGGCGAGTTCTTTAGGTGCCACATCCACGGCCTTTCAGCTCACAGGGCCTTCCTTTCATCTTTCTTGACCTCTTTATCTTTGTTTGCACCTCAGACAAGAGGACTTCCTGCCTGTTCAGATTCAGGAGTTTCAGGTGCAAGGTCCGAGGCTGCGTCCTTCGTCCTCGGAGTCCGAGGATGAAGAGCTGGAGGAAGAGGAACTCGAGGACTTCGCCCCGGGAGCAGGTGGCCTGAGGCTGAATCTTAAGGCTGTTTTGCCGGGTTTCGAAGGCTCTGCTCCGCTGCTCGGCTCTTCGCATGCCGTAGCCAGGCCAACCCCAGGCCGCAGCTGCCGGGTTCCAGCCACTATACCTCGGCTGCAAGGCCATGGGCGTCCCGTGAGCACATGCGTGAATCCTGGGCGGCCGCCAGTTCGGCGGCGGAGCCGTGTATGCAGAGGCTGGTGGCGCAGCGTAAGCCTCTCTTCACAGTACAAGCACAAGACAGCACAAGGCAACTGTTGGCCAAGCATCTCCTGTAGCTGTTGCCCGACCTTCCGTCTTCTGAGCTCCTTGCCGTCGGAGCTGGAGGCGGAGGTTGCCCAGTTGGCCAGACAGGTGCGGGAGGGGGCGGAAAGTCCATGATCCTTAGAGCATGTCTTGTACATGGACCAAGTGGACGATGTGACAGACGTGGGCACTTGCTGAGAACGCTTCTGTGGATCCTGTGCTGGAGGCTTCGACAACGTCTTTAACCTGGATCGATGACTCCAGCGGTCCAGCCGTGTCAAGCCAAAGTTTCCCTGTCAAGCCCCTGACCCCAGGCCACTGCTCGACCCGCAGCCTCCTGACCTGCGGCATGTGGAGACTCGCCGAGGCCAGGCCAGATTAGTCTGCTTTCTGGCTTCCATGTATGTGGGATGATGGTCCATTCATTCCCCAAACAGTTCCTCGGCTCGCGGTACCTCGCCCCCCCCCCCCCCCCCCCNNTGCTCGACCCGCAGCCTCCTGACCTGGGCAGAGCATGGAAACCAAACGCTGACACTTGGTGAGGCCAGGCCAGATGAGTGTGCTTTCTGCTTTCCATTTATGTGGGATGGTCCGCTCATTCCCCAAACAGTTTCTCGGATCGCGGTGCATAGTTTCGACCAAGATCTCACATCCTCGGGCCCCCCCGCCCGGGACATGGAACCCAGTGCAAAATCATACGTCGGTGCTCCCTATGATTTTCTTCGTGAATCGCGCCGGTGCCACAGTGCCGGCGAATTCTGTGGTGTTTCACCTGTATTTTGGGACACTCCTCTTCCTCCATCATTTCCGCCTCCCCAAATCGTGCTCCCGCCAGTGTCCTGCCATTGAGTTTCCACACGGTCGCGGGCAAGGCTTCTGCAGATTCAGTCAGAGATTTTGGCCCTCGTTGTCTCGTTGTGGCTCGCCACGTTCTTTGAACAAAGGCGTCAGACACGCCTCTGGGCCAGGCAAGCGTGTGGATCAGGTTTCAGTAGAGAAGTCGATGCACTTCCAAATCTGTGACTTGCCTAAGATTGAACCTCAGCTCCGGCGAGTCTTGCTGACTCCGGCCAAGTGGAACGCTGCCTGTCATCTCCCAAGTCTCCGTTTCCTCCGTTTCGTAAGGGGTCCGGAGGGAGGGGCACGTGACCCTGCGGTGGCTTCGCTCCCAATTGTGGGGCACGTCCTGCCGGAACTTGGATTTATGCATGGTGGTTTGCCAGTGCTGCTTTTCCACTGTACTACACAGTTGCACCGTTGTTCAGCGCATACAGACTGCGGCGCCATCAGGACGACGCAGATTCTTTTCCAACACTGCACAGAGCATCTGACATCCTTCCAAGTGGCATCGACCAACTTACACAAGTGTTCTCACGAAGACTGGAACGAACAATGCCACCCTCACGATATCTGATTGGTGCTGAACTGTTCAACTCGAGCCGTCTGATACCAATCATTCCGTCGGTAGGACCCGCAGACGGATCGAGAAGTGACTCAGGCGGATGCAGCAGAGCTCCCATGTGTCCACAAGGCCCGAGCCAGAGCTTCTCGCGGAGGGCATCCGTAGGAGTCACCGGCGGAGGAGGCCTCGTCGGCTAAGCAGCTAGGTCCAGCTAGCTTGGCCCTGATTCTCAGCCGCCGCCTTGGCACCACGTAGTCATAGCCTCCTTGGCCCTTTCCGTCTTTGCCTTTGCCACCTATCTCGCTGCCGTCGAATGTTTCTGCGACGGCACAAAGAACGCGATCGACAGAGTGTGCCTCCAAATGCTCCGGCGTTCTGGTTTTCGGCCCAGTTGTCAGCCTCCTCCTGAAGTTGCAGAGATGTGTGGAATCTTTGCGGACTGTTCGGAGCGTCGCTGCTCCTGCTCCTTGATCGCAGCTGCTTTTGCTGCCGCAGCGACACGCTCCGACAGCGACAGTGGAGCTGTTGTCCTAAAAAGGCTTCGTCGCAGTCTACAAGTCCACAACATCACTGTGCCAGTCTTTAAACAGGCCAAGTTGCCCAGTGGGACATGGAGAGTCTGTGAGGCAACGCTTGCCGCCTTCGCCATCGTCCTCGCGGACGTGAGAGCCCCAAGCCTCAAGGCAATGCAAGGAGCCCAAAATAAGACGGGTCCTCTAGGAAGAGGAGGTCGCGCTGAATGCCTGAGCATGCAGGGCGGCTGACCATCGCAGCAGCACCAGGGCTGGTCAGTCATAGCAGAAATGGTAGACGGCGTAATCCTGAGCCTTCAGCCATGAATGGAGCAGCGCTCAGTTGAAGGAGCAGGGCCTGCAAGCTCTGTGTTCAATCTACTTCATGTCTCCCTCTTGTAGCAGCTAGATAGATTGAATGCGACTGACAAGACTCAACTACAGCGGCCGCCTTTGCCGCCCTTCCAGTCGCCCTTCCAGTCGCCCTTCCAGTTACCTTTCCAGTCGCCCTTCCAGTCGCCTTTCCAGTCGCCCTTCCAGGCACCTTTCCAGCCGCCCTTCCAGGAAGCAGCACCCTTCCAAGCCCAGTCAGGGCCACCTTTCCACGATCCATCACCACCTGCAACACTCAACGCAGCACCAGGACAATCTATTGAAGACAAGCTCGGTAGCCTCACCTTTGCCTTTGCCATAGAAACTCATCGAAGATTCCCCTTGGATGGTGTGCCACAAGAGAAGAAGCAATGGAACAAGTTGTGTTACGGTCTCTCTGCTGATGCACCCAATGCACTGATCTAAGCACGCAGCTTGGTCGGCTCTCGAGCTCGTAACCGTCATGACAAGTAAGGCAGGTGTGTGCTTGTGGATGAGTTTATGTGTGTCTGAGCTCTGCGGTATGGCTGCTGCTTGCTTGCAGGAGATACTTGCTCTGTTCTGGTGAAAGCTGGGCAAGGCTTCTAGGGGAATCTGCAGTTCCCCGATTCGAGCACCAAATTTACTGTCAAAGTTTCAAGCTTTCTCCTCTTGACAACTGCAAAGGTGAGCGGCTAGCATTCCGGGTGAGTCTGCATCGGCTGTTATCAGCATTGCCTTCAATATGTTTCATCCAAGCCTGTAGATGCAACTAGGGTGGGCATCATGGCGGTTGTAGGTGAATCGTTCAGCGCGTTTACCTGTCGCTGTGCTTGCCCCCTGCCGTGTTTGCCATACTCGCCGCCTCTTGTGCTGCATGTGCTCTAATGATGCCATCCGGAACAGGGCTGTCCACGAGCTTGCGTTGCAGATGCGCGTCGTGAAGCATTAAGTCCAACATCCAGTCTGTGTTGACAGCGCAGCACGCTAACAACAGAGCAGTCATAGCAAGCGATGCGACACTGCCAGGACATGCTGGACATCAGACCCATGGCAGAAAACAACAACCCGCATCTCCTGGCTCTGTGCTGCTTCCTCCAGCACAGTAATCTCGTCGAGCGAGAAATGTGCTGCAAAAGCCTCGGACAGGACATAGCAGTACGAAATGCCACTCCTTAGACTTGCAATCTCCAGGCCTTAAAACCTTCCTTCATGTCGGGCGCCTTTCCCAGCACAGGGCTTCGGGAACATCGCAAACAGAACACGGACAGCGGTTCAAGCCGCCTTGGAAAGCTTGACCCGGATTGGCCGATTTGCTGTCAAGTGCACATCCTCAATAACCGACACCTCAGCCCAAAGAAGCCTGAGAGATACTCAGACATCGTCTTTGTGCATTCGAAAGCACCACGTTGCCCTCCAATCCTTTCGGGTTGTATGGCTTCCTGGCAGCGAAAGTTCTCATAGTTCCCGCATGCTCATCTTCCACACTGTTGGGCGCACCCCTTGGATCCAGGAACGTGCCAGAAAACGATGTCGTCCGCCACTACCTCGCCAGACATGCCCGAACCCAAACACCAAGGCCTGAAAAAGCTGAAAGCCTAGCCACACCGGCAACTCCGTTAAATTAAACCCCATGGGCTGATGTTTCCTGGTGCAGATGGCAAAAGAGAAGGGAGATGTTGACCGGCTTTTGTTTTTGCAAGACTCAGGCTGCACTGCGCTGGTCTGGCGGAAGTGAAACGCACAGGTTCATTACACAAGCATCGCGGACTGCTCATGTCGGTTCTGGCATTTGCTTGCCGCCAAGCACCTCTGCTGCTTTCAGTGACATGCCGAGCAGTGCGCGACAACGAGGATGCGCCTTGAACTGCGAGAAGTACTGTCTTTCCAGTTGCCTGCGCAGTGCTCAAAACATGCGGACATCGACTCACGTCTTCGGGTTTTTTCAACACGGCACCTGGCCATGGCGTGGCCTTCCTCAGGCCTGCACGGAGATCAAAGAAACTCTTTCAAAAGATGTCACTGCAAACCATCTTCTACTTGTCAGACAGTCAGTCTAGTATTTCCGAGTGTTTCGGGATCTTTGAGGCCACGTCAAGACAACAGCTGCACGTCATACTGTGGATACTCCCGATGTTTGTCTCAGCAGGCCTGTAAGCAAGCTCTAGCAGAGTATGCCTCAGACCGAATCTTGTGGGACGGACTGCTCAACTCAGAGTGGTTCCAACTGGAAGGAGCCGCCCTGCAGCGGAGAAGTCCCTGCCTCATGGGCACCATGCGTTGCTGCGAGGCCCTGGCGGCGGCCTCCTTTTCTGCCTTCCTCTGGGCCTTTGGCGAAGCGGATGAGCTCTTGGAGGCCATGAACAAGAATTTGGAGTGCCAGCTTCAAGCCTTCATCTGCTCCAACTCTGCCAGAGCCACCTGCTTCTGCCTGGCCTGGAGTAGAACCAAGAGAAAAACACCTTTGCTACAGCCGGACTTGCCAGAACGCCTCTGCTATTCGCATCTGGTATTGCTGGAGCTCCTCTGCACAAAGCACAAGCGTTTCGATCACGCGCCGCTCGGCGACGGCCCGGAAGGCCCTGTTGCAATCGTGTTCCTCCTCGGCCTTTCTCTTTTTGTTCGAGGATCCGGAAGAGGAACCTGAGGATGAAGATGAGGAGGAGGACTTCCTCAGAGCGGGAAAAAGACAAGCATGTTACGAGCCGTTAGGCCGGCGTTCAAACGCGTCCTACATCTGGGTTGCTGCCAAGGCGCTTCTTCTTTTTCTTCTTCTTTTTCTTGTCCTTCTTCTTCTTTTTGTCTTTGCTCTTCTCCTTCTTCTTGTCCTTCTTTTTGTCCTGCCACACTACAGACGTCTTGGGAAGAGCTGTTGACAGCAGTTGGCCCTTTCCTTGCTGCTTCCGGCCCCAGGAATGGACGGTTCCATGACTTTCTTTTCCATGAAGTCCAGCGGGTGCACTCCCAACTTCTTGGACTGCTTGAAGAACTGCCTTGGGCACACTCAGTACATGCGTAGCTGGATAGCATTTTGTGAAGTAACGGGCACGTGCGTATGTGTGTAAGTCAGTCACAGTGGGTGTGTATGTGTGTGTGTGTGTCTCTTCGTCTGTCCGTCTGTCCGTCTGTCCGTCTGTCCATCTGTCTGTCTGTCTGTCTGTCTGTCTGTCTGTCGGTCTGCCTGTCTGTCTGCGTGTCTGCCTGTCTGTCTGTCTGCGTGTCTGCCTGTCTGTCTGTCTGCACTAGGCGAGCCACGAAGGGTCAAAGGTGGGGTCCATCGTGCTCATCTTGTTGACGTCGACTTCAGGAGCGTTTCGAGACTGGCCGTGCCATCTCTTCCCAACTATGGCATCCTCAGATGTTGGCCAGCATTGTAATATGCACCTGGCCTGCACCCATGCCCAGCCAGCTACGGGTCTTGCAGCAGGGACTCGTTTACTGTCCGTTGCTTGCCGGCCTCTTGCATTCGAAGCTTGGCAACCGCTGGATGAACACCAGCATCGATGCTGTCTTCCACTGTCTTTGGCTTCCAGACATAGTCGAAGAGCGACATACCTTCAGCATGTGACTCGAGAAGTCTGGATCATTCTGGATCTCAAGCTAACACGGACGGAAACATGGAGCTTCCGTGTCGGACTGCTGAGCACAGAGAGACCGATTGAACCAAAGCCGTCCTTTGAAGGCTGTCTAGCTTTCTCGGAACCAGTCGTCTTGCTTGGAGGATGTTCAGATAGAGTTTGCAATTCTAGAATGGACTCGTTTGCTGCTTATCTCACGTCGCTGTGGTAAAGCAATGTAACCCGCATTACCTTGATACCGCGACAAGATGAGACCTGATCAAAAGCTATTTTGGAATGCAGCAACGGCCAAGATGCTGTCAACATCACATGCGGACCAAGACTGCATGACCGTTGTGTTGCAAGCCTCACGTAAACCTGCTGAAACCATAACATCCCACTCCTTCCGAGGTTGAGGGTCGTTGTCTCTTGTGGGGTGCAAGGTTCGACAACTCCAAATCAAGGGTTTGCTTTGAAGCTTTTCGGAGGTTCTGTGCTCTGCAAAGTGATAAATTTTTGAAGCTCATGTTTGGGAGCCGCATCTTCGAGTCAGTGGGTTTGCTACAGGCTTCATCGCTTGGAGGTCGGCCTCGCTTGGATGTCTGCTTTGTGTGTTTGCAGGTGCTATTTCCCATACACTGTCCGGGCAACACGGCAAGAGCGTGTTCTACACACTTGTTTTGAACTCAGCTAAATTTTGCTAAATCTTCGTGAACGTCGTTTATCAGTATGTTCCCTTGGTTTCGTCGCTGTCATCGGCATTTGTCTCAACAACACTGTTCCTTTGCGCGTGGATTCTGCAGGCACGGTTCGACAGCAGTTTTGATGCCACAAACAGTTTTGGCATGAAACACAAACTTTGGCAATGCTTTATGCCATTGTTTTATTCTTCCGGCATACTTCGTTGATCAGGTTTCAATGAAAGGGTTCAATCACATCGTATTACTTCTTACCGCGCTTTGTCCATGTCAGCTTTCGCAGCTTAGTGGCTTAGTGGTTTTTCGTTTGATCACGCTGGCTTTCTGAGCCGCTTTTGAGCATTTCACGCGGCATTGAGCTTCCAGCCCAAAACCAACAAAAGCATCGGCAGTTTGAAAACCCCAAGCCTGAAAGGAATGGGACTTGAAAACCGGCCGAAAACGCGGCTTGGTTGTTGTGCTGAACCCTTCACCCAACAAGGTCGACTCCCCTACATAAAGAGCAGCAAACCCTAAACCCTCAACCGCCTGGGGAACGGCAAAGGAAAAAGACGGCTGGCAAACTCAAAGCACCAAAATGGAAGGACACGCTGAGCCATCTCTTAAATAAGGAGTGGAGAAATTGTGATTAAAACGCAGCCACAAACTCGGAACCCCACCAGACTTGGACCATTGGAGAGACAAGCCAGAGACGTAAGATGGCGTAAGCCCTAACAGGCTTGTACATTTGAAACCACACTGCCCGTGTCGAAACCCTGCAGCCCAAAGTGCAAAGTAGGTGGATAAAAAGTGAAAGGTTGGGCAGTAACAAACCAATCAGTCCCACGAGAAAAATGGGTAGGCAACGAAAGGGGACTGGCACACGCCACACAAACATACCCAAACAAAGCTCTACCTTGATGCCATGTCAATAAAATCGACATGGCAAGACCGAAACAAGACACATGTTGCCTCAACTTACCGGGCAGCACATGGAAGTAAAGAAACAAGTCGCAGCTGTGCGTGCTTTATATCCTCTGCTTCCCTTTCTGTTGCAGAGATTCACAAGTCAGACATGGCAGCTGATAGGACAAGGCACCAAGTTTCGCCGAACTGTCGCCGAAAAGGGTCACTTTCCAGGGAGTCCGTCGGGGGGCTGCGGATGCACTTGCTTGGTCATGCACTGTCTGAACATACTTAGAGTTGACTGTTCATGAAGGCTTGCTCAATGCGGCCGGCAGACATCTTTATTCATATACAACGTTTTGCTGGCCGACTTGTAACATGATCCATTTATCAGCGCTTGAGCCGCATACTTAATTGCTGCATCGCACAAGCAGCCCCTGCAAGATGCTACACGAGAAGGCATGCAGTGAAAGCAATTGTGAGCAAAGCCCTCGAGTCCTAAAGTCTTGAATGTGCCTTGACTGGTGTTCCCTTTGGTAGGGACGGCGTCTCTTGAAGCCCATCCTGCTCAGGAGATCTGAATGTCGTCTCTGGATCTCCTGCTAAACCCGGAAGCCTGCAGCACCACGTCAGAAGCATCGCCGGCAGCCGCCACCTCGGTGCGCATCTGTCACGTCTGGCGGGAAGGGTTCCGGCTTACCTGTGGCCCAAGAACCAAGAACACGAGATGACAGCATTCAAGCGAGCATGCAGTTTCAGGAATGGCTGCAAGGAGAAGGCAGACTTGTAAAGGAGGTTTCTCGGCGCGCTGCTACGGCTAGTCGCCGCCGCTGCTTCGGGAAGATCGTGGAATCTGGGCGGCCGGCGACTGAGGTGTTTCTTCTTGGGAAGACACACACTGAGGGCGCTGCTCCGGGTCCGGCGCCGAGCAACCAAAGCAGCAGCAGCTCCAACTGGAGCCCAAGTTGCAGAGCCTGGCCCGCAACAGCTCATGCCAGGTAAGATCATCTAAAAGCCCGGCCATGCCATGCTTGCCTGCGTGGCCACGATGTTGACGTGACGGTAGGCTCGGCCTGCAGTGCCAGACCAGCACAAGGCGCAACATGCAGTACCCAAAAGACAAAGAGGCCATCTCGGGCAAGGACGGTGTTGCTGTGGCTGTCCACGGTTTAACCTGCCACAGAGTGGCTTGCGGGCAAGCAGAATACGTAAAGCTCGACAATAAAAGGCCTCGTGCACTGGTTGGCTTGCAGACGTCTGAACAAAAGCTGCCATCGAAGGCAAATTCGAGCGGAGCCACTACCAAATGTTGTATATCTTCGTTAGTCCAGTTTCGTAGTTCACGCAATTGAGGAGTCAAAATGCGACTTCTGCCAAAACAAGACATGGGCACTCGATCCAGACAGCAGATGCCAACATGGAGACCATGCCCACGGATTTGCTGCAACCTCCCGTGTCCGTGATCCTGGCTGCACTTGCTTTTGGTCTTGTCGCTCTTGCAGACTTATCTAAAGCCACAGTCGGCTGCTCTCTCCTATCTACAAGCCACGACCAAGTGTCGCGGCGTTCGCCTTGTCCGCTCCCAGTGGCCGGAGCTTCTCAGAGCTTCGCCGGCTTTGTACAGCAGGGGTCGGAGAAGGGACAAGACAAATCCGCCTCGTGCGGAGCGTGCAAGACTCAGTCTCCCGGTCATGATGCCTGTCTACCAGAGCAGAGCTGGAGTCTTTTCAGTCAAACGCACACGCGCACAACCTGTATCCTGTGTCACCTGAAAACTACACAAAGGAACCGCATGTGCAGCTTTCGGCCCGCTGAGCTTTTGACTTCCAGGCGTCTGCGGACATCGGCCCAGAGGCCACCCAAACGGAGCTCCAGGACCTGCACAGCCCAAACATCCAAAAAGGACGGTCCTGCAAGGGTGCCCTTAGAGTGATGCCTGCCGTGTCAGAGGCGGGGAAAGATTTCTCCAGCCTCAGAGCATGTTCGGCGCGGTACAGTAAAGACTGTCTCGGGGCCTTGAGCTGCCGGCCGTCCTCATCATCATCGGTCCGGCCAAGTCCTTGCAATGTGATGGAAAACCCGCAAGTCGTGTTTAAGCTGATTGAATCTCCTGCTCCACATCCCATGTATGCAACGACGGGATATGGCTCCTGAAAGTGGCAGCCCGAGCAATCCGTCTGCTTCGATGGGAATCTGCATCTGAACAAGAACATCTTGGCTTTTGACTCGGATGGGTTCTGTCGCCCACCAGCTCTCCAAGACCTTGGATGATAGGAGCTGAGCAGCATGCAACGGCCCTTCGTGGGTGCGCAGTCGGAATCAGCTGAGAGTTGGGCCAATCGAAATCGAAAGGCATGAGAAGGGCAGTCGAAGTCAACAAAGTATCTTAGCTTCAACCGCCATCCCAAACATCACTACAAAATACGCGACGCGGCGGCGCCTCAGGTGCCGTGGACCGGCCGGGCCTGTGCGTCAGCACTCGTCAGCACTCGACTCGCTCCTTCTTCGTCCCTTCGTGCACTTCGGGACAAGGACAGCCCCAATTGCTATTTGGGAGGCCCCCCCCCCCCCGGAAATACATCAATCCCTGACGCACACCAAGCACAGGAAACGTAGTACGCAGGGGTTCGAGAGCGTCTGGATTTCAAACTTCGGAGGTTGACATGCATATCATGCTCTCATACACTCTCTCAAGCGAAGTCTCTCTCACCTCTCCTCTGGCGGCTCCACATTTGCTACCAGCACCCTTTCTTATCGCCTTCCATTGGAGACTAGAATCGAGGGCGTTGTTGGGCAGTGATTTTCACTACACTAAAAAGAGCCATGGAAACCATCTTAAACGGTGCCTGTCGGCAAGCATATCGACTACATGCACGCTGGATTCCAGGGTCCAGGGAAATGTGTTGCAGGGGTTCAGGTGTTTCTTTTTTTGTATTTTGTGTTGTTTTCTGGGTATGTTTTTTGGTTTTCGGTTCGATCCATATACAACACTTGCAAGAGTCACAGGGATGGCGACAACTGAGGCTGCACTCGAAGTTTTTGTTGGTGATTTTTTCTGTTTTCGGCCTACTGGTCTTAGTCTATTGATGGCACAATGGTCTTTAAAGCAAGCTCGCGCGGTCCAAAAGGAAAGCGAAAGAGATTTGGGCCTTTAGGACGGGCTTTGCAAAGCCTCATACGAGTTATGTGCTTGACTTGAAATCGCAAATGGCGAAAT